GCAAGCTGTAGGTATGAGCTCCTGCTGGAGCCTTTTACCCTCTGCTTCCCAGTGAGCTGTCTGGTACATCTATCTCTATATGTCAGAGCAAACTGCGCCTCTGCTTAATACACATTTCATGTTTTAGATCTTGCTAGAAAAACAAACGGTTTTGTTGCTGCCGGTTGCAAACGTTACACATTTGCCATGGAGATGTCGTGCTTGTTTGCCACAAATGTAATTAGATGATCAATCAGGAGGAGCCAGGGAGAAACACCTGCATTGCAAACAAACATATTTTTCAGTTTGCTCTCTGAAAAGAACAGGGAGCAAACTACAAAGGAGACAAAAACTCTACCTCTGCGTTGACATCCTCTATCCTGGCTCCTGTTTCCCTGTCATTTCCAGCAGGGAGTAGCAGCCAGACCGCAGATTTCCTCCAGTTGCTGAAAGACATCTGGAAAGCATGGGAACTTGTTGAGAAAAGCTATTTTCCTCTGGATGGCAAACTGCTTCCAAATTCAGCCATGCTTGAACAGGGGCACTCAAGGGAGTTACTGTACAGGGGATTAGCACAGACCCAGGTGTTTGCCTGATCCAACTGAAGGGGAAAGCAAGCAGGGATGCTCTGTGCGGTGCAGGGATGCTGCTGCACCGCTGGCATCAAACACAAGGCTGCAACCTTCCTGCTCTGTCCTGCCCTTGACCTTTCAGTAAATCCATATCTGGATTAGTTCAGCCATACTAAAAATCTGTGTGGACTCTGTATGGGAATTAAAGTGGCTTTACTGCAGTTAATTCACAAAGGAATTTATTCCATTTCAGGACTCTACCCACATCTGCACCCAAAGTCTCAGCTAAAACCGCGACTCTGGTTTGCCTCTGGCAGTGGCGTACAGGGATAATGAAACTCAACAAGGTCCCACAAGGACAGTGCATAGCAAGGTGCCATTTGAACTACCTTTTCTCTGTACGTGTGATCCCTGCCTTCTGCCGCCATATGAAAATGCAGGAGCCTGGACAAACACAGTAAAAAGCACTCTCTTTTCTAGTCAGCTTTTTAAAGTGCTTCTTTCTTCTCTACTGAGAAACTGCCAGCAGTAAAATAAAAAGTGTTCCTTAAAGCAGTACTGAAAGACTCACAAGACACTCTAATGGCCACCATAATGCTTCCAAATGATGCCAGTTCTGTGTCTGGAGAAATTAAGATTATTTTTAGGACTGAAAACTCAAACTCTCAAAAGTTAGGAATTAAGAGAGTTATCCATATAATTGTAGTTTTGTACCATATGGGTATGTACTAGACAGAGCCTTTAATTGCATGATCACAAATTACACTGTGTTTTAGTTTCCCTTTTCAAGCAAAATATTTGGAATTCTTTTGTGTGTTTCATTTTCCCAAATTAAACCTTTTTTTTTTAAAATAGTGACACCAAACCTTTTAATTTGTACAACATTCATACATAATCTTTTAATCTTTCCTCATGATGATCAGTGGTCTGAAAAGACAAAAATGATTGCCGTAAAAACAGTTCTACTGAAAGAAAATTTAAAAATCTTGCAGAGGCTGCAGAAGGAAATGGAAGAGAATTTTTGCTCACTTTATGCAGGGCCTTTTACATCCTCCCTAACTCCCGTCGAGTAAATGCCCAATAGATGGACAAGACAGATTAGCTGTATATGGTTCCTCCAACTCTGCCACTGAGTTGCAATGGCCTGTAAAATTAGCAGGGCTCATTTAATGAATTACTGTGTACATCACTCACCCTTGTCTCTGGTCTTTTCTCCATGAAGCGCAGTTCTTTTTTGTGAACTGCAGTCAGAGCTTAGAAGGAGTCAGAATAGGACCGAGGGGCTGATCCTGCACATATCAAATCATTCCACTCCTTTTATACTTTTAAGATACTTTTCCATGTTCCTGCCTTTTTTTTTCATCCTGCATTTTATGCATGTTCCTGCCTTCTCTAGGTAGTTTTGCATTATCAAAGGGCAACAGGAGAAAAGAAAAAACTGTTGCTGCATTTAGCATTGATTTTTCCCCTTCACTCTGAGTCACATAAGCTAACATTTAATTAATTTCTGACACTTTGACAGTTTCTAAGAAGACATTTGTAGAGCTATCAAGTGCCGTTGATAGCACTGTCAGACAGACACTTTTTGAATTATCAGCTATTAAGGACCCATATGCAACAAATTTCCAAGGATTATTATACAAATTGTTCTTTGAATGAGAAAAGCACACAAAAGCTCAGTGAAACATAAAGAAACCATTGTTCCCAGGTGAATTTGATATTTGCAAATGTTTTGCTATTTTGATCACTTACATGGTTTAATAAATTGAATTCACTTTGTCTTTTATTAAGAAAATTCAATGGCCTGTTTTGGGATGTCTGAGAACATGGCCAGATTTTCAAATCACCATTGTCTTTATGGAGATACAGCTTGAAAAACATGGAATACTTGATTTTAGGAAGCTCTGAGCAGTGAATGTGGTCCCTTCAAGATCTCTCAAACCAGAAGCCCCAAAACCAAAATAGCCAAAATCTCTGGTTGCTTTTAAACAGCTCTTGCCTTTACTCTTTGATCATACTCTCTGACATGTCACCATTTCTTGATGTAGTGACTACTTCAGGCCCAGGTACAGATCTTGATACTTTACTTTTAAACATACAAGCAAACCTGTCAAGCGGCTGAAATGATTAATGCCATTCCAGAGACCCTCTGCAGCTGTGGGTGGCAGTTCAGGTATGACAACTCTATTTTTGCTGGCCTCATTATACTAATTTACCAGTTGGCAAAGAAGCTCTGTTTCAGCAGGCAGGGCAGAGCTGTATGTCACCTTGCCTGATGGCACAGCCAGGACTTGATGTTAGCATTTGTCTGCCTCTGCTCTGTGCAAGAGCCGTGCTATTATGATCAGACTGCTCCACTTGCTTCTCCTTGGAGCATCTGACATTAGCGGTTCTGGTGAGCTCAGGGAACCTATTAGCTCATACAGTGAAATTCAGCTCAGTGCTCCTCTCCTCGTGGCCTTTATGGCTCTCTGAAAGGCAGACTCAGGTGCACGCCAGTCAGATCTGCACATGTCCACTTCTGCCTGTACTACGGGCTCAGTTATGCAAAGGACAGGGATGACTTGCAGACTGAGGCATTACTTATGTTTTAGCCCATCCTGCTTCAGTAAACACACATCGTTTGGAAATCTCTTCTTTTTCTAAGTGTGTAGAAACTCCAGCAGGACCCAAACATGCTGTGGAAATACTGAGAAGATGGTGCCAACCATCACAAGCACCCACTGCACAGATCCTGCCCTGGGAGCTCTTTAGTTAGTCCACCTAAATGAGAGCCAAAAGAGCCTCACCACACAGCCAGGAAGAAGTCTTTCCAGTATGCCATGGCCAGTGGCCAAATATACCGCGGTCTCGTTGCAAATGTGGAATTTGTTTTTCATATGCTGGCACCAGACAAAGACCCCAACAGAAACACCTGCTGTCAAGGTCTGTGGTGTAGCTTAACTCTTAGCCAGTTTCTGACAATGTGGCTGTGCGTGCAGTTGGATGCCAATGATCTAGGAGTATACAGAGTCCCAATGTTACTGTTTTGCGTCATCTGCTGGCATAAAATCCATATAACCTCATGGGTGTTCATGCACCTTCACTAGCCTGCACCATACAGAAATATGACCTAAGAGATAGCAGTTCCACCATAGTGTATCATCAGAGCAGAAATCACGACCTTCCCTTTACATCCCACACTTTAGCTTTGTTTATGCATCTTCCTCAGCAGAGAGTAGTTTTTTGCTGTCTGCATTTGCAGCTAATAACTCACAAACCTCTATATCCAGACAGAAATATTTCTTTGGAATTTTGTTTCCTCATCTCTCTTCAGTTCGTTTTCATTCTTCTTCCTCTTCATCCATAAAAAATGCCTGTAAGCTGGGGACCCGATCCATAGCCAGTGGAAACCAAAGGAAGGTCTCTTGGTGACAGTCGCTCCTTACTGTATGCTGAAAATGGCCCAGCTAAGGAAGCAGAGCACAGAGGCAGCCCTGGGAGACAGGAAAAGTCTGAAAGACTAAAAGACTCTTGCAGTCATCTTTGCTATGCCTGCATAAAACAAACATAAATACCTAAATATAAAAGACACTTGCAGTTGTCTTTGCTGTGCCTGGATAAAACAAACACAAAACCCCAAATAGGTTCTAGGAACTGTACAGCAAAAACCATGATTTGTTTATATGTTACCTTTGAAAGAGTGCACAGCACGTGGCCATTGGAACGATGGTTTGCCACGATGCCACAGATTTCCACGGAGACCTGTCTTCCCAGTGCCAGAAGCTGCAGAGGCTGGGCTGTCGGATGGCACCCAGTCATGCCCCCACCATTTTCCCCTTTGCACTGCAACCTCGCTGGGGGAATGGCAGAAGGCAGGCACAGTCCAGCCCTGACTTCAAAACTGCTACTGTCAAATTTCATTATCATCACAATTCAGTTCATAGTTCTATTTATTTATTTATTTATTTCCCTGCTGGACGAAAAAAAATAAGGAAAAGCAAAGCAAAAAAAACCCCCAAACACCACAGCCCAAAGCCCCATGAAGCATATGAAAAATAAACAAAGTGGGTCATAGCACATCTGCCCTGAACTGTACACACCTCACATGGAGCAGTTAGTGGTTAGGGAACATCAGGGGAGCTGACACAAGAATCCCAGATGCTCTGCCTGAATAGGCTGTAACACGGAGTAATTAATATCCCCGGCCGCAGAAAACTGGGGGATGAACTAGAAATAGAAATTAACTTCTTGAATCCCTGCCTAGGTATCTGACCATCAGTTCAGCCTCCCATCTGGGTCTTCATCGCATTTCCACTCAGTCAACCATTTGCACACAGGAATTCAGGGTAGAAGGAGCAGGCTCCAGAGAATCCCAAGAGTGAGGTAGCACATGCGTAATAGTTTTATTTTTGTTTTGCATTGTGGCCTTTGACTGTCTTTTCAACATCTTTGTGTCAGGGTGGAGCTGGAATCTGGCACTTTTACCTCCATGGATCCCCTAAACCTCTCTTGGTACAACGATGACATCGGTGACAGGAACTGGAGCAAGCCACTCAACGAGTCCAGTGCAGAGCAGAAGCCTCAGTATAACTACTATGCCATACTGCTCACCCTCCTCATCTTTGTCATTGTTTTTGGCAATGTGCTGGTGTGTATGGCTGTGTCCAGGGAAAAGGCCCTTCAGACTACCACTAATTACCTGATTGTGAGTTTGGCAGTGGCAGATCTCTTGGTAGCAACTCTGGTCATGCCTTGGGTGGTCTATCTGGAGGTAGGTGACCCAGTTTTCTTTCGCAGTACTGAATGTTTCTGGTCAATGGGTAGAGAGAGGGAAGGTTTAGCAGCTTGGACATCAACTATTTCAAGACCTCCTGACTTTCCCAAAACAAAAGTGTTTTTCATTTCCTAACGGTTGGTCAGATTTTTCCAGGAAATGGGCATGATAGCAGATGACATGCTGACTTGAAAATACACTGTTGTTCAGAGGGTTAAATTACAATCTAGTGGCACTGACAATCTGGCCTTTAAATAGAGGAGTCAAGGGTGAAAGGAGCCCAATTGTGTTTTCAAAGCTACATAGATGAACTGCTCATTTTCAAGCATAAGAATGAGTCTGCAACAACATCATGGATGTCACACCAACAAACTGCACCAAATAATAATCAAAACCCTATTTCTGAAGGACTACAGTAGTAAGAAGGTCAGGCAATTGTAGAATTAGGATGTAAAGTCAGAGCTTTTATGTCACGATACATGAGAGAAACAGAATCACAAGTGAGCTACTTTTCATAACACTGCCGTTAGGATGTCACTTTGGTACAGAGGAGCTCTACGCTTCTGCATACAGAGCCATATTTGAATGGCACTGTGGTTTGTTAAAGCCAAATATCCCGAGACTGCCACCTATTTACTTGATGGCAAATGACTCTTGCAACAGTAAATAGTTTGAAAGAATGAAATGCATCTCTAGAGGAAAGAACAAGAGAAGATACACAGCCCCTGCCCCTTGACCCTATTCACTGGGATGCCCGTGTTTTTCAGTCAGCTCAGAGCTGGCACGCTGGTGGCAATCACAACCAAGAGAGAATGAACAGTGGTGAGAAAGCATAAGACTGAAACTATATTAAGTTTACAATTAATTTTCAGGCACTTGTTTATGAGAGAAAACGATAAAACAGAGAGGAGAGCAGGGGAAGAAGCCATAATCAATTAGTCTATTAAGCATTAATGCAAAGCAAAACAAACCCACTGACATGACATAAACTATCGAGAAACCACAATACTAATTATCACTCTAGTTAATTATTGTTTTCATGGCACTTTAAAAATGTAAAGCATCATGCATCTGCTAAAGTTATTAACATGACCACAGGCTGGTTGTGATTGCAGTCAATGCCTCTGGGACTAGTTATGCTCTCCTATTATATTCCTCCTTTGCAACAACCCATTTTAAGCAGAGGCTTATGCTGTGAGAAGCTCTTGCTCTCTTAGGCCCAGCTATAAGATTCTCTCAGACACTCCTTATTTTAATGTGGAAGAATAAAGCACAAACAATGTAAGATGCTTTCCCGTTTCTGGGCTCATGTGTACATGGAGTTTGTCGGGAACCTCAGCTTCCTTAATCTACCAAGTAGGTCAATCAGGCTTTTACATCTCAGCAATACTTTTTTTTTTTTTCAATTTACTTTTGCCCTTTCTGCTCTTATCCACACTCTGCTAAACCTACTGCTTGCTTGAAGCAATGAAAAACATGACAAATACTTGCTGACAGAGAAGGAGCCATTGGACTGACGTAGGTTAGGCACACTGTGGTCCCTCTCTGGGTCTGCAATCTGAAATCAAAACTGGCCAGAACCATTTGTTCTGTAAATATCTTCATTATTTTTTAGGCTTTGTGTCACAAGCTCGGACAAAAACGAACATCAAAAGGAAATCCTTTTAAAAATCAGCCTTGATGCAAACAAATCTTCTACCTCCAAACTTCTGAGGTTTCTCCTACATAAATGAAAGCACTAAGAGAAAGAACTGCTGCAGTTTACAGCATCTCCCATAAACTCGAAACTATGTGTTCAGGAAACTGATTTTGCAGAGGCTTATATCTGGCTGGAAACCTCTGCCTTTGGGCAAATACTCATCAAAGTTACTGATGTAACTGTCTCTTAAGTGCTTTTTTAATCACTGAGTATTCATCTGTCACTCAGGCTTCAATGCAGTCATCCTTTCTTCCTTCTTTATGCTGCCTATGGTTATGTATATCAGAGCAGAAATAACTGAAGAATAGATATCTTATTCATTCTATTTTCAAATGCAGTAGGACTCTATTTTTATTAGAGGAAAATATACTTTTTTCATCACATGTCAAATACAGCAGTCCTAATAATTGCTATCAAACTTCATTGGCAAAGTTCAGTTTCAATAGCAAGATAAGTGAAGAGAAGAAAGCTACTGGTAACTGGAAGTGTTATCATTAGTTCTTTGTCTTTATCACATCATGTAGTGTGCCAAAGAATTTTCACTCTGAATTAAATTCATTTCGTTCACCAAAAAAAAAAAAAAAAAAAAAAAGCGAGGAATTTCTACCCCGATTTTTTAAACTAAGAGATGAAGGAAAGCTCCTTCTTCTCTATTGCTGATCTTTGCTAGGTATAATTGCAAAAAATAGTCTAATAAAAAGATGTAAGTACAATCAGTGGTGCTTGGGATATAAGATTAATGTATTTCCTTCCTAATACTTCTTTGCTTCTAATGCTTCAGGGACATGTTTAAGCTCCTATATAGTTCACTCTGAGGAGACTTGAACTCCCTTATGTCATTGGAGTATAAGCCCAGGTTTGTGTTTGCTGTTTAGGCTGCCCAACTCAATACAGAGTAAAAGAATGGAATTAGGAAGGATAAAACCACACCAGCCCTCAGGGGAATGATCTAAAGAATGGTTTGGGTGGGCCAGAGTACTTCCTTTGTGGCCATGTCATCATTTGAGACCTTTAGACTAGACAGGACAAAGTCCTTGAAGGCACTCAATGGCAAACAGTCCTACCTGACACAGCATGTCATTGATTGCATGTGACCTGATTCCAGCTGGAACTTCTGTAGACAAAGCTTTGATCCCTCTTGAACCAGCAGAACTCCAGCTACCAGCAAGCATCTCTATCTTTCTGCAAAATTCTCCCTCTAGACCCTCTCAGTAGCGTATCCTCAGTGAATTCCTTTACTGACCTTATTCTCTCTCTTTGCAGGTGGTTGGTGAGTGGAGGTTTAGTCGGATCCACTGTGACATCTTTGTAACCCTTGATGTTATGATGTGCACTGCCAGTATCCTCAACCTCTGTGCCATCAGCATTGACAGGTGAGGACTCCATGGCAACAGGTCGTGTGAAATCTGCAGTAGCAAGTCATGGCCATCTTTACATGGTCTAATTTTACCTCTGACTCAGAGACTTGAAAATGGTGAGAGCTAGTGTTGCTGACATCTCGTGAAGAGCAATTTAGAGGACCTAAACAAGGTCTGAGCAGGGATTCCATCAGAAGCAGACACAGAAACACTGGTCTTGAGAATGTAAATGTATATGTCCCCATTAGTTCAGTCCTCCTGTTTGTATACTTGAATGGTGGAGCAGACGTCAGTGGGAAGGCAGTAGCTCAGAAAAAGTGGAAGAAAAATGCTGTGCTGAGCTGACCCCAGCCTCATGTCTTCCAAAACAGGGAATGTGGATGTCTTGGAGACTCATGAAACCTGACTTGCCCTATGTTCTCTTGATGGACCAGCTTTCAGACACAGTAACTAGGTGTAATTTCCCACAAAGTTTGTCAGCACTGGCAGAATAACAATAAACTGGGTTTGTATCTTCATACTGCAGGTACACAGCAGTAGCAATGCCAATGCTGTATAACACCCGCTACAGCTCGAAGCGCAGGGTCACGGTCATGATTGCTGTGGTCTGGGTACTTTCATTTGCCATCTCCTGCCCACTCCTCTTTGGCCTCAACAACACAGGTGAGTGTTATGCCACCTGCAGCTGGCTATTGGCATCTTCCTGGCTTTACCGGGTCCCCAGAGAGTCTTCTGTTACAAGTCAGGAACAAACATGGGGATCAGGTTTTAGGTGTTTTGGGATGTATCCATCGCTGTTTCAGATGTCCTCTCCTGGTGTCATCCCAGACTATTTCTGTCAGCTGCTTCTGGATCTGTTTCGTCTCTTGCTGTTTCAGACCAGTGTTTTAGACACATCAGAACTGAGGTTATGTAGAAGTTTACACAGCACTCCTCAGTGTTATGTTAACATTGTCCACTACAAAATCAAAATCCCTTTTATATTAAAACATGTGAAAAGGAAAGTCATGGGACAAATAGCTTCACTGATACAGGAGAGAAAAGAACTGGCTGTTCAGCCATCGGTTTCATAAGAAGGCTGGATTGTGTACAGCATGGGACCGGCAGGCTTTTAGTTATAAGGCAAGTAATAGCCAGGGACTATGGGTCGTATGTGACTCCCTATGACCCAAGGGGAGTTTGCTGTTCTGTTACCACTTCCAGCTGACACAGTTGTCCCCCCTAGAACCTGAACTCCTCACTCTCTGGGTATCTCTGTGCCTTCTCAAAGAGGGAGAGAAGAGGGGGAAGCCGGCGCTAGCTCCTAGCAGCAGGGACAACAAGCCTGCAACTTTTGTTTTCCAGATGAGAACGAGTGCATCATCGCCAATCCTGCCTTTGTCGTGTATTCCTCTGTTGTCTCCTTCTACGTTCCCTTCATTGTCACCCTGCTGGTGTACGTGCAGATTTACATAGTGCTCCGGAAGCGCAGGAAGCGTGTCAACACCAAGCGCAGCAGCCATGGTCTGGACTCAGACACACAAGCCCCGCTGAAGGTAACTAAACCTCTGCCTTGCTCTCAGCAGTCTCCATCCTTTCCCCTTCCTGCTCCACTTCATTCCCCAAAGCACTCCCTCCTTACTCCAAATGACACTGGCTGGACTAGGTGAAGTACTGGATCACAAAGGTGAATGCTGTATCCTGTGCCATTTTGGAGTCCCAGTTGCATACTCTGGATTATCAGGTCACTGGCTGGTGCTTCACAGGCCTCCCTGGATCTCAGGGGATGTTTCATCAGCAGATCTGCATTAGGAGCTGCTTCATTAACCAAACTGCATTTTCTTTGGCTCTGCTGAGTTTGGGTTGGAGTACCCAAGACTGCAGGCTATACTATTTTCTGAGTCAGTCCTGCTGTTGTGATGAAGAAATTCAATGGAAATTGTGTGCGTGGCTGGGGTGCAAACTACATCGCTGGTAATGGTACCTCTGCAGTGAAAACAGCCTCTCAAACCATGAGCTATGTGCATAAGTGGAGTCCAGCTGAGCGTGTTTAGTGTGAGACCGCTTGTCAAAACGCTACTCTCGCAGCACATGCAAAACAACCAGTAGGAATGTATAGTCCCAGAGGCACTACCTCCAAACTGCGTTGCCTCAGAGGTCTGTGCCTTGTCAAGCAAAGGAGGCAGTGAGACAGGGATAGACTGAAACATAAGCAGATCTTTGTGGTTTCCTTCCTTTTGTGAAAAGCACACAGGATACTTGCCTCCATTACTGCTTCTTCAGAGTAGTTTACCACCGTTCTTAGCTCCTTAGTCACACCGATTAATTTCTGCTTCATGCTCTGTGTTTGTATTTCCACGTGCCTCCCTTACCAGCTTCCCTTCCCAATTACTATCTGCTTGTGTAACCTCTGAGCTGGTGCTTGCCCCTTAGGACAAATGCACTCATCCAGAAGACGTCAAGCTCTGCACAGTTATTGTGAAGTCCAATGGGAGTTTCCAAGTTAATAAGCGCAAAGTGGTGAGTGTTCAAGAGAAGTGGTAGCTTTTCAGAGCCTTTAGATTTCCCCTTTCTCCTTTCAGGAAGCAAAATGAATTTACGTAGGGTGGGAGAAAAATAAACTAAGAACAAAGGTTACCATTCAAACTCAAAATTTAAATATTCTTCCCATTCCTTAGAGTGAAGCAGGGTTTTAAGATCATAGAGCTCAAAAAGCCAAACTAAGCTCACCTAAAGATCAGCTACAAAAGCCATGACATTTTAACATTTTGTGTCTTTGATTTTCTTCTCCTCTCTGTTATTTATTTTAAGTCTTGGGCTGCATTGGCTTGGTTCACTTTTGCTTGTTGATTTTGGTTTTATTTATTTATATTCTGAAGACCTAAATAAAATCTATAGGGAGTCGAGACAGTGTCTCTCACACTTCTTAACCTCTTTGTGCAATAAAGGAGAGTGATTCACTCCAGTTCTGTTGATCCCATCTACCCAAAAGTATTCTTACCTGTAAACACTTTACAGCCCTTTCTCCAAGCATCTACCAAAAATGTAGAGAGGGAGAAGAGGGATTGATTGTTCTTCAACATCATTCAGCTTCACTCTGTAAGGAATGTCCATTGCTCCTCTCTCTGTATTTATCTGTCTTTATGTTATGGACATTTGATTCCTGTCCAGGAGGCGGAGAGTCACATAGAAGAGATGGAGATGGTGTCCAGTACCAGTCCCCCTGAGAAAACCACCATCAAACCAGCACCACCAAGTAACCATCAGTTGGTTGTGCCAGTTGCTTCTAATCAGGGCACCAACTCAACCCTGCAGGCACCCTTGGACAGCCCTGGGAAAGCAGAGAAGAATGGACATGCCAAAGAAACATCCCACACAGCCAAGGTCTTTGAGATCCAGTCTATGCCCAATGGCAAGACAAGGACCTCTCTCAAGACTGTGAGCAGAAGGAAACTGTCACAACAGAAGGAAAAGAAAGCCACTCAGATGCTAGCCATTGTACTTGGTGAGAATGCACATTGGCTTCCTCTTGTGTTTCTGCAGAAAACCAATAGCTACCCGGGATTAGGACAGCCAGGCTGAATGGCCAGATCGCCACAGACATTATTTCACTTGATACATTAGAGGATATGTAGGCAAGCAGGCAAGAGGCTGCCAACAGGAAGGCTACCTCCTTCCCAGCTAGGAACAGTTCACAGTGCTGTTACAAAAGGCTCAGAAAGCTGTCCGTCTGTGGGGTGTTTGGACCGCCAAAAGACGGCTGGGTGCAGGGACAAGAGAGCTCATGGGCTTTCTAGAACACAAAAGGCAGCACGGCTCAGCAAGAAACTGACACCTCCAAAGGCCAGATTTTTTTTATGTAACTGGTCTAATTACATTGGCAAAGAAGTTCTTTAGTACCTGGATACTCAGATTATAGACTATGAGACTTAACAGACAAACAGAAGGCTTATTACTCAGGGAAACATGTTTTCTTTATACCCAAAAGAATCTTACTGTTCTTATTGTCTCAAAATTTGTCCAGCTTTCAGCAATCAAAATCTGTTTCTTTCCTTTTCCCCCAGGTGTTTTCATCATCTGCTGGCTCCCATTCTTCATCACTCACATCCTGAACATGCACTGTGATTGCAATATCCCCCCAGCAATGTACAGCGCCTTTACGTGGCTTGGATATGTCAACAGTGCTGTCAATCCAATTATTTACACTACCTTCAACATTGAATTTCGCAAGGCTTTCATGAAGATCCTCCACTGTTAAAAGTAAACACAGCAACCACATTTCTAAGAATGAGAAAAAAGAAACCAATGCCATTCACGCACAGAAATGGGCAGCCATGGAGAGGTCTCAAGCTCTTGTATTGGGCATGAGGCCTACAGTGTTACAACAGTGCCATGCCCATGCACCTCTTGGTGGGGATGTAACAAGGACCTTCACGGGGGAGGTTCTCTCATCCCACGAGGTGACCTTTGGACTCTGGGACACCAATCCTAAGGGCACTTTTCAGAGCTACCCTCACACTGTGTTTAAAGTGGAAGCAAAAATCAAGACACACTCACTTGATTCTTCCTTGTGGCCATCTAACCTTGAGGGTATTAAACACAGACGGTTGCAGAGCCATGTGAAGGTAGCGATAGGTCACTGCTGCTACTGGCTTGCGTGTTACGTCATTGATACTATTCTCACCAAAGACAAGACCATCTTTTCCACTTTGCAATAGGAGCCAGACAGAGCTTGCGGGAACTCCATGCAATAGCTTTGCCTTCACCTCGAGCTGACTTTTCCAGTATTAAACTGCTGGACCCCTGAGAAAAAACTTTAAGAGGTCCCCAAGTGGACTAAGAAGGTTCTGCCACATACAGATTCAACCCTGCAACAACGTGGGCCTACAAGCAACGGGCAGGAGGAAGAAGGGGAGCATAAGTCCCATGTGGGACCACTACATCAGTGTAAATATGAATAAATAGGATTAATTGAACAGAAGCCCAAGCCAAAAAATAGATGGAGAGAAACTACAGAAGTGATACCTTGTATTCCATGGTATACATTCAGATCAAACAGGACACCAACTATCAACTATCATCAGGCAGCCCAGCAGCAATTTCTGCCCACCAGCATTTCATCTCCTGTCTCTTACAAGAAGTTTCAAAGCTCGGTGAGGAGTGTTAGTGTGGTGAATGTAGAAACATGAAGACAGTGTGCCAGGTGAGGCGTCTGCAGCCGTGTCCATCTCAGATGTGAACTTGAACAAGCTAAGTTAGGTCCAGTTCTTCCCACCTAACTTCAGGGTGCCGTGAAGCCAAGGACCTCAGATATGATTCGCCTATGTGTCTCAATAGAGAGAGTGTAGAACAACTTCGTGCCTAATTGACATTAACAGTAAATGAGATAAAACTGTGTGATTTGGAAAAAGCCAGAATAAAAGCCCAAGAAAGTCCCTAGCTGGATGTGCTCCTGTGTCCAAGTTGGACTCTGGACAAGTCTGCATGTTTCCAGCATCCTTTACCCTCTGACATCTATCTTTCATGGATTAAAACAATTGAAAATCCATAACAGCATAATTGCACCATGTTGACTCTGGCATTGCCAAATCCACACTGTACTTACTAACTGTACTCAGTTCACAATATATTTTGTAATATCTCTGTAAATAAAACATAGTAAGATGAATAAAATGACATGGAAATAGGTCTGGCTAGGAATTAATGTAGGATCTGAAGAACTAGATGATTACAATGGCTAAATGCAGAGGCAGGCTCCCCAGTTCTAGCTACCTGCTGTTTTCTAAAGATGTTAAAACACAATTTGGAGAGCAATATAATCCCTTTTCTCTCTATGCAGTTTGTGGAATATTCACATAGTTTCTGCTTCAGAATAGATAAAGACTGTTGCCAAGGGGCGGGGGTTTATTCTCTGGTTTTCCTATATTGCTAACAAAGCATTTTCCTGTGGGATGGACTGTGCTGGTAGAATGTGTTCCAGCTGTATATCAAGAAGAAATTATGTCAAGCAGCTATAACACATGCTCTCAGCTGTTTTCTGAAATTGAAACAGGAGTCCCATCTTGATCCAAAGGTTGCCATTCTAAACCTTGTATTCCTGGAAGAGGCTGATAACCAGTGTTATTAGTATTTAGTCCATGGACTTGTATAACATTTAAACATGGCTCTTCAAGGTCTATGCATAGCTATAAATGTAAATGAAGAGGGATACTACGGATGCCTAAGTGCGTCCCAGCGTGGTGAAGGATTTTAGCACATACCCTCAGCAGAAATAGGTTCCATGTATTAACTGAATAACAGAGTACATGGTTATCAGAGCAACATTTCGTTGACATACATCACCCAGGTGTTACATGATGCTATCAGAACAAAACATTATGAACATGTAAGATAGGACCAGTCACTCTTCTGTCTTAGCATTTTAATGGACAGCTAGGGAACCTTTATACTGTGTACATTGATAGGAGTATCGGCAAGGAAAAAACCACTTCTTACAGAAGCACAGGAAACTTTCCAATCCTTTTTTAATCAGCAAATTGGAAATACTAACTCAAGAGATCTCAGGCACACATTATCTGTTCTTTTTTTTCCCAATATTAACCAAGCAAATTCACTCAGTGATGGGAATCAACTCATACTGGTATTACTTAAAAGATTCAAAGAATAATGGAAAGTCAGTAGCTTTTTTTGGTGGAAAAATATTAACAAGCTACTGCTCAATTTTCTAACGTATTTGCAGTCGCAAAGCAGAAAGGTGCCATTTGACTTAGTGAACAGATGGGGAACTGAATCAAAATAGAAAATAATATGCGTATAGACAGAAAAGCTTTAAAACATTTGGAAGTTGCCATAGGTGATATTTGCCCTGTACTAAAACCTGGTGTGAGCCCTCAGAACAAGTGGAATGTGAATAATGTCTCAACTTTGTGCCATAATTTGATTCTGTGTTCAGTGTTAACCCAGGACAAAATCATCATCTTCAATACTGCGTACCTTTTTCGAAAATTGTGTTTCTGAATCTAGATGCAGAACCTTTTAGCTCAGCTCACCTGAACTACTAGATGAAAAACTCTTCCAAAACATCATGGAGGAAAAGAGCTGCTGAAAAATGGCCTATGTCCTTCATATGTTTGCTAACCTGGACCAAAAAAACCCCAGGTGTCATTTCCTAGAAGTTAAGTATTTGTTGGGAGAAATTACCTGCAGCCCATCATTCATCCCAATGACATTTTAAGCCACTCATTCCTAACACTCCAGACTCAAAGGTATCTTGTGGGAATGTCTATATCCCCACTGCCCTTGGAGAGGTGGTAATGCCATGTCTGTTCATCTCCTCTGCAGCATGTTGCCATAAAACATCTACACTTAAAGACAACAAACTAAAGCACTTGCCACCCATGAATCAAGCCTTCATAACTCTTTTCAAGAGAGGACCAAAATATGTCATCACCTCTGGTTTTACAAAGAATAAACTAATGCCAAGAGCAAGGATGGTCTTTGCCATCTGTTTGTACAGCACCTGGCACAACGACAACCAGCCTGTAGTTGTGATGGAAGGTGTCTGTAGAAACTTCTGAAAATCGTGAGAAGTCAATTGCATCATACAGGACTCTGAGGCCTCTTGCCCACATATCTGGGGCTGGCAAATACAGTCGTCACTGTTACTTCCACTCTGGAAAAAATACTGCCTTCCCAAGGACTTCAGATGGCGGGACATGCTGACGGTGGTAAGAGTAATGATAATGTTTTTTAAAACACATTAGTGAGAGGATTTCATTTCTTCGTTCCTGAAGAAGAACTTAAGACCCTTGCTATAGTCCCTATTTTGTGATTCATTATTTGTAATTGAAGCTTTAGTTCTGCCTATTGAGTCTTCCTATTCCTGCTTTTCTTCCCTGTGATTCACAGCTCGCTGAAGCTTGTGTGGCTCTCTGCACCCCTGAACAAGTTTTAATTAAGAAGCTAGTGAATTCTGCCTGCACTGTACTTAGCACTTGCCTGCTTGCTCCCACTACAGTCATGATACTGTTTATCTTCCTGATTGAAGAGTAAACTAATTACAGTAGGTCTAACCAGCTTGTTAAATCCTGCTAAAAAAAAAAAAAAAACAAAAAAAAAAAAAAAGCCACTACCCCTGTGGTGAAAATCTCCAGTGAAAACATGACTCCCTGAAGAGTCAAGAATGTATAATACCCATCAGAAGTACATGTGACACCAACAAATGTCTTCATGCAGCACTGTAATTAAATAGAGACTTGCACAAGCTACCCTGATGTTATATGCTTATTTTGTTCTTTTTACCAGAAGCAGCAACAATGGTGTTTAGCTGCAAGGGGTCAGACTCTAGGGACTTATGGTTATGCTATACATCATACAAACACGTAATGGGAAAAGATGGCCTTCAGATGAGATCTTGCGTTTTTTCTGAATTTCTTTTGGATTAGCTGCATTTTTTTTCTTTTTCTTCCTTATCCTTGTCTATCTTTAAGAATTCTAGCTTTTGTCTGGACTGAAGCTAGGAGAATCAGGTATGGGAAAGAAGGGGTGCAGAAAGACACAGACAGAAAAGAAAATGTTCTTAAATTTCTCCATCTCTCTTCTCTTCTAGACAGAAGCAAACTGGGGAGGATTTGGAGGAGGAAGGGATGGAAAACAGATAAGTACCTAGCCAAGAGCAGTCATGCTGGTACTTCTGGCATCACAACAGCTGCCTGTGTTTACTTTTTGGCACTACTCATTCAAATCTGGTCCATAGCAGTACAGGTTCAAGACGGGGATTGAAAGCCACTGCTCTCACTGGAAGACTGCTTGTCTACATGAGCTGTAAATGTTGAGGGAAACAAACATATATGAGTCAAACATAAGTACCAACCCCTATGAGTTTGGTTAGCAACAAGAAACAGTTGCGTGGAATCTACAAATGCCCGATCTCTCCAAATGCTTGGAGGAAATAAGTAGAAGCTGTCAGACCACTATGGCACTGCAGGCAATTTGTATAAGTACAATATTTTTAATGCTGTATTTTATGCAGAAGTTAATATGCCCCAAAAATGTAATTATGGACTTCACTTGGCTAAGCACACCTAACGTAAGAATTCACATCAGCGGGAGTATTTCAGCTGTCCACCTCTATCACTTGGTCTTGCATAAAAAGGTTTTGGTGAATTCACTGCATGGGGCTGGCAGTGCAGACAGCACATTGCAGCTGAGCTCTGTGTAGTAGCTTCTACCAAGGCTAAGTAACTGGTCACATGGAGG